TTTATTTTAAATTTATATTATCTTTATATATTAAAGAATCAAAGAATTGCTTTCTTAGTAATAAAATATTCGTGCGAGTGCAATTACGTAGAAGTGAATCAATCATGGATTAATATTTTATGTATTTATAATTGTCAACATCACAATCATGGATTAATATTTTATGTATTTATAATTGTCAACATTATCAACATTGTTAACGTGTAAAAGCGTACTTACAACAGCGACAGCATTCGACGCGAGTATTTCATCCTGCGTGAGTACGACAAAGTAGGCAATGTTCGCGAAAACATAAATCACTGTCACCAACGGCAGTGATATACAAATCGCCTTCGGAAGATTCCTATGGAAATGAAAAAAACAACGATCACATTATGAAAGTTTCTACAAGTCTCTGTTAAAATTTTACGTACGTTATTATCTTCGTAAATATAAACGTGCTTCGATAATATGATAATACTAATATTTTACTCGAATCTATTATTCTAATAAAATATATTGTAAGACAAAATTTTAAGAATTGATAATTAAATATCAATTTTGATAATTAAATATCAATATCGATTAATATCAATAATTAAATATTAATTTTAGCTAAATTAATAGCGTATTATCTTCTATCAAAAATAAGTAAATAATATAATTTGACCTGTACACTGAAATATTAAATTTTAATAAATCATTTATTTGAATAGTGCCTACTAAATATTTACTAAATACAAAGATGTATTTATGTGATACAAGAATCACTAATTTGATTTAACTATCATTTTCTTTATTAAGTAAATATTTATTTACTATAAATAAATGTTTAGTTGACACTATTTAAACAAATATTTATTAACATTTAGAATATTTTTTCTCAGTGTATTACGCTGCTTTTTTTATTATAAATTAAAAGAATTACAATAAAAATACAAAAAGGTCAGGGAAAGTTTAATCCGAATTGCGACAATTACTTGTAGGGATCTTTTAACTCCTCCGTCACAAAGTTGAGATAATTCCAGCCTGAATAAGAGAACAGTCCGGAATATACTGCCAGAGCGATGTAACCGGGTTGAGTATTAGTGCCAGACATTGGATGTTGGAAGTTCTCCGTGTGGCCCATGCAGAGCCACCAGACACCGGCTACCATGATGATTACTAGAGCGAAGATTTTAGTGCCAGTGAAGATGTCCTGCACTCTGGTTGCCCATTTAACATTATAGCAGTTAATGACGGTTAACAGACCTATAAACAAAATAGTGAAATTGTCATATGCTCATCGTACACATATTGCAAATATTAAAACAATCTGACGAGAGTATGAATATTTTTTCGGGCTATATTGAATTATATCTCATGTTACATCTCATTGCACACATACGTCAAGATATTTTTGATGAATTCGATATTTATATGTATATTTATACATATATCATGCGATATTTATAACAACGAACGTCTGAAAGAGATATCGAACAGCTAAAAAGTAGAAGGAAAAGTTGACAGAAATTTAAGCATAATAAAAAAATTGTATTGAAAAACCTACAATCAATTAAAAGGTTTTAAAAGTTATTTTCATGAGGAGTGTCCAAATTTAAATTATAGTTCAATAATATACAAAAAAATAAAAGGAACATAACAATACGAGTTATATTATCTTTTAATATAATGTATGGGTTTTCAATACGTTACTGTTACCGTTCCAGTAATTTTATATTCTTCGAAAAGATTTTTTTCTCATGGAATACGAAAGCCGCCGGAACGATGACATTAATATATCGAAAACCTCAAAAAACTATATTGAGATAATATGACTTACATTGTTGTAGTTTTTTTTATTTTTTGTATAATTATTAAATTATAATTTAAATTTAAAAATTTAAATCGTATTTTATTAGATCATACTATAAATTTCCTTTTTTTCTATAAATTATCAAAATAAAATAAAAAAAATTTATTCATTTTACATGTGATCACAGCAGCGAGTAGTCGAATCGCTGCATACGGCGGCTCGCATCCAGGCCATACAGGTTGCAGTATGTATTGTGCGAACGTGAGGGCCGTGATTGCGTTCCCCGTTGGCACCAAGATGAACAAGGCGACCCAAAGGTAGAGGAACGCTGGCAAAGGTCCGAAAGCATCGCTAATGTATGCATAATCGCCGCCAGATTTGGGGATCATCGTACCTGTATAAAATTGAAAAGATGTCATTTTATTATTAATTTAGTAAACTACTCCTCTTAATAAAAAGAAAATCATGGAGAATCTGATAGAAAAATTTCGAGCGACTAATTGGAGCAATTATACATAGGTATATTATATATATCTTAGGCTCGTTGGTTGCATCAACGTTACTTTAACTTTAATCGAGACTTAAAACTTTCTCTGTCTCGTTTTAAAACGAAAGAGAGACAGAGGCGGAGAGAGTTTTAAGCATTGCTTAAAGTCAAAGTAATGTTGTGCAATTGAGCCTTTGAAAATCCTAAAGTCATTTGTTTCAGGATTACCAGATGTAGGCGACCTAAAATATAGCTATGTAATAAACATAGACCTGTTCTTTTTAGCTCTTTAAACTTCTTGCAGAATTTGTCTTTTTTTCTATTTCTCTTCAATATGAAGAGGAAAAGAGGAAAGATGAACCGCAAGAAGTTCAAGAATATGAATGCTCTTATTTTTTGAGAAAATTATAATTTTTTAAATTATTTTAAATTGCTTTAACTTTATACCACATTGTTCCAAAATGATATTACTTTATTCCAAACGATTCTCTAATAAGATAAAAAAAAAACATTTTTACAGCTAAACCTTTTTTAAAAAATCGAACCATTTCTTATCTCTATAAATTGTTCTAGTCCAAACATTGTTCCAAATGAATAATTTATTCCATAAATTAAACTAGAAACCTGGAGAAAGAAAAAAAAAAATGTTTTTCGACAAACTGACTTTCAAAGAAAACATACATTTTCTTTCGTGTTTCGAGAACTTTTTATTCTGAGTTGTTTCCATGAAATAGTTTCCATGAAACATAAGGTCTGTTTTTTATTGTTGCACTTTCTGACGCACACAGAGCTATAAGTTGAAGTGAAACAATTATATGTTTGTTTCACTTCAACTTATTGCACTGGTTCAAAGTGTAACAATAAAAAAGAAATCTATAGTTTCTAACAAAGTTAGGGTCACTCGTCTTGGCGCGCGTCTGTGCGACTACAAGCGCAGGCGTCCAGTGTTTGGGGGGACATTTTGGAGATTATTGCGTCATTATTCTCGCTGTTTGAAATACATTTTTGTTTCAATCAATTCATTTGTTTGAATCAATTCATCATACTTTGATTGCTGGCCAAAATCATCATTATTCACGACAAGTGCCAAAAAAAAGAAGAAAGAGATGATAAAATCAATTCTCAAATTCAAGAGAAATCTACTAAGAGTGTTTCTTGTCTCTTCCAAAGTTCAATTTTTATTTCAGACGACAGAAAACGAAAAAAAATTGGGTAACAGACAAAAGTGAAAAGTAATAAAAAGCAAGAAATAGAAAACAAAGAGCATATTGTAGATTACTCGTAATCGAGATTACGAATTATAGAGTAAAATAGATTGAAATTTTTGTGGTATTTTAAATCCATTGAATTAATGTTCAAAAATATCGATACGCAGTGATTAGGATTGCATTCAGTGCTCACATGCTATAAGCTTTATTCTATCTTTTTTTATGAGTACTGAGTGATAAAGATAGAATAAACGCATAAGCGTTAATTCCAAACACAGTCTATATCTCTGACATAAATTAATACACAGTGATATATTAATACGCAGTGATACATCTCTGACATAAATACGTCTCGATTCGTTTTTTCTG